TGCAGCGCCCACTTCAGGTAGACCAAGAACTCGCTCCAGTCTACCTGTCCGTCTGCATCCATATCAATAGCCTGCAGAGCTTGTCTAGTATCGGAGCACCGATAGCAGGCGAAGTATGGTGCCATGAAGCCGTTGTAGAAAGAGTCGTACTGCAGCATCTCGTCTCCTTGCACCTCATCCTTCAGGTCCCAGGTGTCCCAGATCTTTCGGACTTCGTCGAGCATCATCTCTGAATGGGTGTCGTTCATCTCCATTTTCTCTATCATGTCTCGCATCTTCTCAGTAAGTTTGCCTCCAGCACGATCAAAGAGGAGAGCCACTCCGACCAGACTCATGTACTCCTCCTTCCTAGAGGGAGTGGTGCAAGTTTGAATACAGCACAGTCAGCGTCATAACATACTCTTTGGTCATGACAGGTCTCCGGCCAAATGCTTGAAGAGACCAGATTGCTAGGGCAAGTGCTTAGCCTGGTACATGCATTTCAACACTTGTAATGTAACTTGTATTAGGAACCTTGTATGACTCATGGCTGTAACAGTATTTCGGGATTGATTGATTCTTACTAACGACCCTTTATTATATTATGTGAGCTTCTTGTGAATTTCCTTCTGTGGTTTGTGATGAATGAATGATTTTCATTCAGCCTATGGTGGCTAACTGACCTATACCAAGAAACGTGAACCCCCAAGAATTTGGGGTTCCTGTTCCTTAAACAGAATTCCAATGTCTCGTGAAGTTCACTAGGCTAAATGTCTGTGTGCGAAATCACGTCCACTGTTGTGAATGATTCCGAATCTATAATTTACCCTACTACATTATTATTATTTTGTTATAATTTTACAGGTTCGCCTCACTTTTGATTCGATGGCTAACTTTAAAATAAGGCCTGCTGCTACTGCACAAGTAATAGCACGAAGGAATCTGAAATTCTGAAAGCCTACAAATTATGTTTGAGGTTGGGGACTCCTCAAAGTGCGAGCAGAGTCTTTGTGGCTACTGGGCGAGTTCGCCCAGTGCTCAAACAGAGCACTGGGAAGGGCTGATGGCTTTGCACTGTGATTGGCTACATTGTGTAGGACCTGTGATCACGAGGTTATCACTTCCTCTTAGCTTAGCCTTATTTACTTTTTTTGGTTCACCGATGGCAATGTTTTAGCACGAGCAAAGTGTCGGCTATGATAAAACATGACCTTGGTACAGTCACAGTGTGGTAGTTTCTCTTCTCACTAAGTTTCACTGATCATGTCTTTAGACGATATATTTCGAATCATTCGTCTTTGATCAATTTTGCATGAATGAATAAACTGTAGTGAGAGTATTTTCAGCAATGAGGAAGAAAAAGAAAAAAACCGAGCTTGTCGTGGTCGGCTGGCTGGTTGGAATCAATTGTAGCAGCGGGAACCGCGAACAACTATTTCAAGGATGGGTTTGCGCCGGGGAGATGTAAAGTAATTTTGGATTTTTTTTACTAGTGCAGACGTAAGCAGGAGGTCTTGGTTCGAGTCCCACCCAAGTACGCTTGTGGTCTTTTCACAAGCCTTCGGGGCATACACAGAGCATACAATGTTAAAATACACGTCGAGCAGGGCAAAATCTTAAATTAATTTACATCTCCCCCGCGCAAATCCGTCCTTGGTTTTAACTAGACCGCCCCCTTGACCATTTCATTGTGGAAATTTTGCCTTTCCATTGTAAGGCAATTGTGAAAATTTACCAAATTTGATTTTTTTTAAACCCTTCAACAACAACAAAATACTTCCTGCCTTACCTGTTGTTCCGAAGGTCTTCAAGCATGACTTCTTTCATCTTGTGAGCCTGCTCAAGAGTGAACTGAGGATCGTCTCCAAAAAGCTCAACCATCCTCAAGCGGATCATCTCATCGGAGGCTAAAGAGCTAATCCTCTTGGGAGCTTCTTCCCCGAAGAAATCAGCCAAGTCGAAGTCCTCCTTCGCCAATCCCAAGACGAAGTCCAGGGCTCTTTCACCGTACACAGGCTGCTTGAGGTGAGGATCCCGACCCGTAGTGATTTTGGTTACGTTAGTGGCAGCCTTCCTCAGATACGAGCAGTTGTATTTCTTGAGAATCTTCTTGTTGCCGAGGCGGATGAGGTTCATCATGGTAACGCATGTGGATGCGTTGCCCATGGCAGCACCTTCGATGCAGATGCTGCCCCAGGTTCCATCAGCACCATACATCAAACTCTACAATGTAAAAACAAACGCAAAGTGTAAAGCTGAAATATCATATAAGGCTACTCATTCTTTATTTATCTTTGAAGTTTATTAAGTTTACATGGTCGTCGCTAGGTTTTCCCCGGGGCCAACCACTCGTTCGGGGGGGGGGTAAGCACTCATTGGCTATAACTTGATAATCTGTTAACAACGGGAGGGGTTAGCGTTAATAAATTGGTGATTTTCATCCCGTTTCATAATGTTTTTCTTTTTTCCTTTTATCTCCATCTTGAGCCCCCTGCCCTTTTGTGACTGGTCGTGCCATTTAGCGTTAACTAGCGTCAATAAGTGTCAACACACATGTAGCGTTGATAAAGTGTCAACACTTGTATGTACCCTCTAAAGATTTAACAAGTGGTTTTGTTACATTGAAGAGACTTCAAGCTAAAATCTGTAACTGTGTAAGAAACATGGTGAATTTGCTTCCACATTCTTGCAGGAAAAAGAGAACGAACACGGAAGACGAAAATGTGATGCATTTAATATGATTTTTGGGAGCGTAATTAACATGAGTCTTGCATAATAACACAACTTTTTGCATAAATATGCTTGATTAACTTATTGGCGCTTTGATGCGCTCGCTGACGCTCGTTGACCAGCGGTGTATCCAGCTTGTGGTGTCGGGGAATTCAAAAGCACGAAGGCGGCTTCGGGTTCATTCAACATGATTTGGCGGAGAGGAAACATCAAACGCTTACTCGCCGTCCTGAAACATTGCCTTATAATTTCATGGTGTTGGTCCGGGTTTTTGCTAATATCTGATAAATAAATGAACGATAAATTTTCTTACCAATGAAGTATTCCTTGTTTGACGCAAATTTAAAACAACCCATAAATTTAAATATTGCCCGACTACCTCCTTGAATGCTGACACAGATGTTGCATTGACTAGAGATTGTGGCACTTTCCTTGGTTGGTAAGTGTGTGATTTCAGTATAGTATCAATGTTGCTTATGTAGGGATTTGAAACACCATGTCAAATAATTGGTTATGTTTTGTCCATTGTTGACGTCGTCCACCTCTATTACCATAGCATGTCCTCTGAAGATGGAGATGTATTCCAAGAGAGCTGATTGTGCTCCAAACGTATTCAATGCCCTCAGTGCCGTTAGTTAATGCTCAGAACTACACGTATAATGGTTTTTATCAATTTGTGGCATTTCCCGGCTCAACTGTCAGTTTCGTCTGGTTAAGATTTGAACAGGCGTTTGGATTGATGTCACAAGATGCCAGTACATCAATCAGGAAAGTTGCAGATGTCTCTCCAATAGTAAGCAATGTGGTTTTCGAGATACCTGAGAAGATTTCTTTATTGAGCCTTTATATTGTCTAGACAAGAACCGCCACTGCCCAGGCACTCACTTCCATTGAACTTATTGTTCAGCACACGATGGGTCCAGCAGAGAATACAAAGGAAGTATTCCACACAAAGCACTGATCTATGCACACTTGACTGAGCGGAGCTTTTAGTACATTTGATACGCGATATGCAGCAAAGGGGGACCCCGCAATTGTGTCTCCTCTTTTGTGTTTACGGAATCTGTGGAATTCCTTTCAGATTTCCAGGGGTGCAGTACGAACAATAGCCTGAGGGTATATGGCTTGTGCATCACATTAGGGGTCCCGTTGCCGCATGTAGTGTTTGGTATAGCCTGCTATGGATTGCACCTCCGGCAGTACAAGATAACAAGGTAAGAGTTTTCTTCTGAAGCCAGAATTTTACCATTCAACGTTTTGCAGCATCCGCATAGCACAAGCTTACAATAAGTGTGAAGTGGATATCAATAACAAAGTCAAAATAGAGAAATATCGGCAAAATAGAGAGAAAAAAATGCAACAGGATTTTTTAGGAGCTGCCATCCATTGGGGCGCACTCAAACTCAATGTAGGGTAAAAGGCCATTTTGTGGCGATTCAATGTCTTTAAATCCTTTTTCCAACAAACGAGGCAAATATCAGGCTTAGACCTTGACTGCGGGTTGCATATATTAATTTTATTATATCATCTCTTCACCAGAATTAAATAATTGCCAGAGACAAAGCGGAAATCGTGTGGTTTTTGGTTTCATTTTTATAAATACCCGTTTCTGTCTTCGAGGGGAATGTCACACAAAAGTAATTCTAACACAGAAATATATCCCAAACGAAAGCAAAAAAAGAAGGGGAGACTTTGGGAAACGTTCATTTTTTGTTTCATTCATTAATCTAACCTTAGGGGTCCGGACAACTCGACCGTTTGCCAACTCGACTTCGGACAATTCAACCCTTGAGACAACTAAACCGTTTGCCAAGTCGTCCGTTAGGACAACTCGACTTTGACAGAGAGACAACTCGACCAGTGAGATCTAATGCAGTCGTTTTCCCAGTTCAAGGTAGCGAAATTATTCAGTCAGATTGTAGCTCTACAAAAATCCTCGAATTCCAGTGAAATGTGGTCACCGTCCACTTGTGTGATAGAGATACCACGGTTACCACCAAATCAGTTTCAAATTTTAAACTTTTAATTTGGACGTACGGGATCGACGGAAGTGGTGACACTTTTTCTCGTTCTGGATCGGTTTCCGGAAAGAAACCACGCGAGCCTCAAATATATTTTCAGCCAGAACCAGTGTAAAAAGCTTATTTCCTAATGAAAAATTTCTCAATTTAGAAAAACCTTGTTAATAAATAAGAATTCCAATGAATAAAAAAAATGGATCTTGTGTAAAGTTCGACTCAACCTTTTCAGCTGCACAGCGTGAGCCATCAACGATACTACATCGTGCTGAACATGCACAGCCGACAAACCCATTACGTCACATACATTTCTGGAACGTCCGTATTAGCGAGATGAGTTCGCAAAGCATATTGCGCGCATGCACTTAATGCGCGACCCAAACTAGGAAACAATATGCGTTCAGTTTTCGGCCACTTTTAATAAAACGTACCTTTGAAACTCATTTTGATTAAACAGACAGTAGATGCAAGTGTTTATATGACTGTTGAGTATGAAGGATTTGGGATCACTCGTAGTGAGTGAGAAATATCGCCATACACTATTCGTCATTCGTCCGAGAGCAAGTTTTGTTCAAGAAGAAGTTTACATTTCACTTTGAAACCAGAATCTGTCTGAGAATGTAGAACTAGAGGACAACACCAAGGAGGTATTTTTTTTTATTTCAAGCGATCCGGAACTAGGAAGACGACTGTAATTAATATGGCCGGGTATATACTTGCAGCGTGGGTGCAAGATCGGTTGCTTGCGCAAAGATTGACTTACTACAGCAACCATTTTTATAGATACCTCAGAAATTGGGCTTGTCTAATATTCTACTACATGAAATTCCATCCTATCATTAAGGTATACAGTGTATAGTATTTTACACTGTGACCTCAGTAGACGACTGGGCTGAGCGGAGAGTGTTCCAACAGACGACTTGTCCCAACGGACGACTTGTCTCTCCCTTTTACGCACAGACGGTCGAGTTGTCTCAACCGTCGAGTTGTCCGGATTCCAGTTGGCAAACGGCCGAGTTGTCCGGACCCCAGCTCCCCAACGAGCTACTGAACCGATTGTAGGTCAACTCGCCCCCTGGCAGGCTCACCCCTTACCGACTCGCCCCTTACCATCCCGCCTCCTAGCCAACTCGCCCCTTGGCCGAGTGGCCCCTAGCCGATTCCATCAGGGGCCTATGCATGAATGTCTACATAACAATGACAATCTTGCACTTTGGCTTTCAATGCACGCTCAGTAACTAACAACTTTTCATAAAGATAAAACACTGAGCTTACCTCGAGCTGTGAGGTGTCTGCGTAGCCATACTTCTCGTGGATGTGTACCAGCAATTTTCCATTCCAGTTGTGAGCATCCATGATCTTACGGATGTACTTGGCCCAGCTACCGCACTCCTCAGGCATACAGGTGCCCTTGGCCTCCTCGAACAGCAAACCAAAGGGACGGACATCCTCGGGCATCTCGGCCAAGAACTTGACCAGCTGGAAGGCCCGGACGGGCACTGTGTGCATGATATCGGTCAGATCTCGCAAGTTGACCAGGACTTTGGCGTCTCGATTCAGGTTGTCGTACACCCACAAGATCCACTTCTCGACCAGCGCGCACAGGTCCTTCATGCTGAAGCGGCTGAAGTCGTACACCGCATCGGCCGAAGTCCACCTCTAAGATCGCGTTCCAAAGCCCCGTCTCCTTCATCTTGCACAATCCTACGGGGACGGTCTCTGTGTCTGGAATCCTATCTTTTGTGCCTTTGAATAAAGAATAAAAATAAGTATGGTGGCATGTTTCCATTTTAATATTTTGTGCCCAAACCCCGAAAGCCTTTGCTTATGAATGTTTTTTGCTTGTCTCCTCTGCCTTGCTTTGATCATAATGACTGGGATGGATCTTGGTTTACATCAGAATTGCGTTATACTTAAAGAGGTGTCTTTGAGTTAGGATAGGTTTGTTGGTTAGATTGGAATGAGTTACAACCCAAACAATACGTTTGGCTGGATTTGAACTTCACAATATCACTTACCTGCAGTTACCTCAGAGAAAGCATACAACCCTCTGGGGTTCTCGCCTTGTTGCACCAGCTTCTTCACGAAGACGTCATCCACGCGCGTCATGTGCGAGAACGCGGCAACGATGATGTCGCTGAATCCACACCGTTTGACTTCATCGAATACCCGCCACTTGTCCTCCAGAGTATGCCCCCGTAACTGTCCCACGGTGCTCTCACGGATCGAGTTATCCAGGACGAACAAGTCCATGTCACGCAAACGGTTGTACTTTTGGGTTTCTTTGTCAACATAAGCGGTGTAATCTACCGCGAGTTTGTCCATGCTCTGAACATGCTTTGTGTAGAAATCAGTCATAAATTTTTCCACGCTCTCGATTTTGTTCTTGAGCAACTGAAACATGTTGGCTCTGGGTGGTTGGTCTTCTCCTGATGGAATGCACGAGTTTAAATACTGCACAAGGACTAAGCTATCAAACTCTATATCCCGTCCTATTGACACCACCGGTCTTATTGGTGCTATGCAATAACAGTGTTCAACGTGGGTCATGTCATGTGCATTCAAATGAATCGGGTATGCTGACGCCAAAGGGCGTTCTCCACATAGCCTACTTACGAACAGTGTTCTGAAATACTGATTACGAACGCCAAGTGCAAAAGCAATACAGCTGGGCAACGATTCGAGATGGCAGCCAGTAGCCATAGAAAACTGAATTTAAAAATTTGGATGTTGTATGAGTTGGTATTTATGGATGGCATTTATGGTGTTGGTATTTATGGATCGATTCATCCATCATTTACACTGTGAAAAATTGTGTAACTGAACAGTTCTTTTTCTGTTGCAAGTGTCAATAAACTATTGTAGATATTACTGTTTTGGGAGTATTCTGTAAATAATTGCTCCGCTCTGTTCCACTCGCCGCATATTTTTCCCGCTCTTCTCTGTTCGGTTACAGACAGATCGCTATTGAATTAAAGTTCTGTCCTTGAACAAGAAACGTCATGTTATTAGCAAGCCGTCTGTGCCTTTACTGTTCATACACAGTAACATCACTGTTTCCTGAGAGATATTCCTCCTTTGCCGTATAAGAATTCATTCAGGCTGCATACAGCCAATGAAAACCGAGGACAAACATAAGAAAAGCACCCACATAGTGATGCAAGTAAAATTCAACAGTTGCTAATAAGAAACCTCTGGATACCTTTTTATTTTACTGAACGGCAAAGCTTTAAAAAAGGTGTGTGTGCACCAAAACGGATAGGGATGTCAGAATAGGAAATAAGAAACTCCAAAGGAAACCAAACCGTAGCAACTGTGCGAATGTGACTACGGGTTGACAAAAATGAGTAGGATTTGCTGAAATTGGAAGGGAAAACTTATGGGTAATCTTTGCAATTGATCGTACTGTTAGTGAAAAAATAATTAACCTTCCGTGTATATTTAAAGCTTTGATTGTTGGGGATTTTCACATGAGAGAGAAGAAAGTTTGGTGATTATAATGTGTAGTTATGTGCGTTAATAAAACTACTTCGGTTCATGCCTTGTTCTTCAAAAATCTGCCGTCTAGTGTGACTGAATATTCGAATGCTCGATTAAATAGAAGGTCAATATTCGGATATTCAATTATTTGACTTCAACCAGCCTTACCATCTCGACAAACATCGCGAATAATTCAAGTTTCCTGCGCGCGCAGCCTGTGAATAAGATTTGTCAACCATTTCCCACAATATACTCCGAAAAAGGCAAATCTTTGGCAACCTCCTAGACTGTTTTTTGGGGTGGTCCTTTTTTTTCGATCTAAATATCTTCAAAAAAGTCGTTCTGTAACTCACCAAAACATTGAAGGGAAAGTTTGAAATTGAAAGTTTGAATACCGGTTGACCCCAGCCTCGTGGATCCGCGCCTGATACCCTACTGTTGCTGCTATTTTGTGGTTGAAGAACCTGCACTTACAGAGTTTGTAAAAGGTATTCAACCAAACCCTAGACTTTGTCGCGACCATGCAGATTATATTCAACTTAGATTTGAAAGGATCAGCAACTGAATGAATTTGTATAAGGATGGTTAGTCTCATTTTCGTATGCCACACTAAAGGCCACAATGATGAATCGTCTGCCAGCCAGTAGAAAAAGGAAGACCTGCTATGGTTCAGTATCCTATACAAAATGAAGGTTCTTCACCAAAAGAGCCATGGAAGGGCATTGATCTGGAACTGTGCGACTACGGCCATGGCCTAAGAGTAAGATAGTGTGTGAATGGCTTCTTATTGCCGGAGCCACGCAGCAACAATATACATATTGGTTATTGTTATTTTGGTGAAGAGAGGCCTACTTCATTGATTTTATATAGGATGCTGAACCATAGACCTTCACCAAACCACAGTCTGCATTAGTCAACAAAGAGTTGAAAGGGACAATAACTGCTCTCGTGTATTACCAAGTTTCTTTTTCTGAAACAGGAATGGTCAAAATGATGGATCCTCTGTCAGTGTGAGGATCAAGGCACAGTTATTACCTATTCTTAACAAGGACTCTGTCGGCAACGACAAGGTAAATTCATTACCCCAAGCGGCGGTGGCGTGGGGACAATTTATTGTACTTTTTTTTAATAAACACGCCAGCACATTAAAAACGGTAAAACCACCTTTTATTTGAGTGTAGATTCTTTTCACGGGTGAAAGAATGAAGAGTCGCAAACTGTCTGACCGATAAAAACCATTTTGCCCGTCCTAGTGGACCGTTGACCCGATATGCCACTCCTGAGGTATGAGTTTTTGATCCAGGTCAAAGCCCAGAATTGTTGACAACTTTTTACATCTTGCACTAGCAAACATCCGACACTGGTCGAATAATTATATTTAAGACAAGTCTAGTCAGAACCGAGAGAGAACAATTAACTTTTCAAATGGACCGAAGCACACTTAAAGACAATGATAATCAGGTATTACACATTGCAAGAATTAATGATGTGCACATGCACCAATTTGTGCTTGATTGATACGCTGGGCCAACAGGTGTCAGTCTAAGAACAGATGAGGCCAGGTAATGGGTCTCAACTTGGCAGAATTGAGAATTTAATTCTCGATATCAGGAAAGGTAGGGGGCATCTAAGACCTGTCTTTAGATTTCAAACTGAAGTATTGTAACGAAAATCACTTCCATCTTTCTTTTACCGACTTATAGTTTCCTCCACTGCAAACTAAGAATTTTACTTGCTGACAATGTCAGTTGTTCCTTATTCTTAGCGGAATCCCACCGCTGCCATCAAAAACTGTAACGAAATCCTTTTAACAAGGAATTCGCTATAGTAGAGGGAGTACACACAAAATAACGTCAACTGTCAAAGGAATTAAAAATGGTCGCCACTCGTCATACTGTCTGACATTTATTCCAAGAAAAGAATGACTCAATTCAAAATTTTTCTGAGCTGTTTACAGTTTGGCAGTGACGATTCAACAAAAAATGTAACAGCAATAAATACTGTGACGTAACAGAGGGCGCTTGGCGAGGGGGTGGGATGAAACCAGCCACACGGTAACAAGGGCAGATGTTTATGCACGCATCTGGTGACACCATTATTCAAATCCCAAGAACAGGACTACAGTGTAATCCCGGAATATCTTATTTTAAAGATAGTACAAACCAGCCTCGGTCAGTCTGTGAAATATTTCCGCCTAGACCGCAGAAGCTTTCGAGAAAACAGAAAGATTTTTCTCTTTCTTCGCGATGGTGAGCCGACCATAGTTTTAAAGTTCGCCTCGCACATAGACTTGACCAAGTCGGGATCCTCATTGACGTAGTCAGCGTTTATGCTTCGGTATGTGGATGCTGCCACGGTGTTACTTGCTTTGCGCCCTCTTGTGTCCTCTTTATTACTGCGAGTTCAGAAATCCCGACTTGACGAATCTGCAGACCGTCTGTACGCAGCGAATTAGCTCATCTACCAAAAGTGGTAGCAGACAATCAAATTACCGGAATTGTTTTTACGTCGTTCTTACCCCATTATAATGGACGAGTCTATGAGTCTGACTACTTTGATTGGTGACAGCTCCGTGTACGTGAAGCAAGATCATGTCGTTCTTATGCAAATTTAGTTTTGTTTGTTTGAGCGGCCGAAATACCGGAACGGGCGAATACTACCTTTGGATGGAATGCTGTGGTGTTAGCTCATTCCACTCCCTTGTGCTTGATTCAATGAAACTATTTCCATTGTAGTGATTCCAGGCGTATACTACTTATACGGCGTGCATATTGCCGAGCTTTTCACTTTCAGGCCAACGCTTCATGTCGAGTATCGACCACACTTTCTAGCTCTCGTTTATGCACGTTAAATTCTTGTATTTCTAGTGCTTCGTTTGTTTGTTCTTT